ACACAAAATCCAATAAAAATAAAATTACAATATTATTCTTAGTTCTTCAAGATTATATCATTTAAAGCTTAGATTCTTACATGCATACATGATCAAAGCATAAAATCAACACAAACTTTTATTTTCTTCCTCCTTTAGTTTTCGGTCACCACAAGAACATTAACAATAAATTAAAGAGAAGAAAAATACTATTGGTGTTGAAGCACTTGTAGCAAGAATTCGAAACTTCTCACCTTAATCTTCTTAGAAAATTGGAAGGGTGTTCTTTCCTTTCTACAAGGAGAAGAAGAAGAAATTTTAGAAAGAGGGGAAGAAGAAGCTTAGTTTCTTAAAATTTTCGAAAATGAAGAAAAGAAAGAAGAGGAAGAAGAATTACTCCTTTGGCCAAGAATTTTACTCTTGAAAGAGAGAATTTGGGGCTTTCCTACACTATAATTTCGAAAATTGGTAGAAGAGGGGAAAGAGATTTTGATTTTTAGAATGTGTAGAGAAAAATGAGAAATAGATGAAGGCTTGGGTTCTATTTATAGAGTTGTGAGGGACTTGCATGCTTAATGATTAAGGAGTGGTCTTTTTGCAATTTAGGAAAACTTAGGAATTATCTAGAGGGACTTCTTTGCAATTTCATTTAACTCTCCAAAAGAAATTCATAAAGGAAAAATCTTAATGCACATGGGCTCACCTACACAAGGGTTGTACTCAAGGAAAATATTTGGTCATGTGTTGTACCATGGTCAAAATTGAGGGATGAATAGGAGGGATTTTCTATTTTTATTTATGAAATTATGTGATTTAAAATTATCCTAACAAATAAGTTCTAGCAAACAAAGGAGTATAATTAATCTCTAGATTAATAATTAACTAAGATGATCAATTTAAATTCGTCCAAAATTATTTCAGACTAATGCATTCTATATGAAATTTCACCGGTTATCACATAAATAAAATCTTAAACTAATAAACGCACATAAGAGATAAAATCACGTTAACTAAAAAGATGCTAATTAATGAAAAATCAAATTATCGGAGACGCGGGGTGTTACACGAAAATATTTTTTTTAAAGAAAATCAAAATTTTATAATTTTCTTATTAAAAAAGCTTCAGAATAAAAATAAATTTTAAAAAAACACAATTTAATCAAAAATTTAAAAAAACAATTTATGTAAAAAAAAACACAATTTAATAAAAAAAAAAGTCAAAATATAAAACAGAATTAAAAAAACGTAATTTTTTTAATTGAAATGGTATGAGATTTTTTGAGGGATTTTGGGGATTAGGTGGATTTTTAGGGGAGTTATTTTAGGAAAATAAATTAAACATCAAATTCGAAAATACACCGCAAGGGTAATATAAATATTTTGTTATGGGAGGGGGTTATCTCAAAAATGGGATTATTAATTGCACTTATCCCTCTTAGGAAATTGAGTGAAGGGGTTATCTCATATAACCCCTATTTCAAAATTAGGACATTATGCAAGCCATTTATTATGTTCTGTGCTTTAATTTTCATGTGTTTGAATAAATGATTATGAGTGATGAAACTTGGGATTATGAACCTCAATTTACTGTATGATTGTGTTTAATTACTATTGGAATTTATTAATGAAATTATTACCTAGAAGTTCATTAAATGAAAGATAAAGATGACCCTTGCTTTTCAAGCATGACTTGGATATTAAATGTGATGTATTAATGTGTGTGCTACATATGTGTGTGTGTGTTGAATGTGTATGTGTTTGTGTGCTGTGTGTGGCTGTGTGTGTTTATGTACTTGGGGATTTTTGCCCAAATTATAAATATGTGGTAAGTTGTGATATTTGTGTGGTTTTGTGGCACTTGATTGGTATTTGTGATGTTATGTGTATTGTTGTGAGCATGATTTTGAAAATGATGCATTCCACGATTTTTAAAATTGAAAGATTAATGGAATGCGGTATAATAAAGAACTCGGATATAGAGGGCCGGTATCCAACTAGGATGAAATGTGTGGTTTGATTCCACTAGTGAAAACGGGCTCGTAACAGGTTTATTTCAAGTACAAAAATTAATCTTTTACGGATCCGATAAAACGAAAAATGTGTTTCTCACGATTTTCACAAAAAATGGCCTTTTAGTCATTTTGCATAAGTACGTGTTTGTGTGAATGATGTGTTTTCGCGAACTATGTGATTAACCGTTTGTCTTATGGAGTTTGGAATTTGAGTAAGAATGACTATATAATATTATATATTATCTATAACGTATTTTCAAAGTTTGATATTTAATCGGATTTCTTACTGAGCTGTATAGCTCATATAGATGCCTTTTAATTGCAGATAGTAGTGTTAGTAACCCATCCACCGGAATAGATCGAGTAGCGGATCGAGGTCTTGCCCGGGATTTTGGAAATTGTACGAGGGCCTATGAACGATGCTAAAGTATCTTGGTTTTCTTTTGGTGATGTAATATTAAACCTAAGTATTTCCCTTTTCGTATCTTTTGAACTCCAATCCGGTATGGATCGTACTTGACTTTGATTATAAAATAGTCCGTTTAGTAATTTTGTTATTTTCATGTCTCAACCAGTAGTTTTCGAAATACTCACCAAAAAACCTTTCAAAAACTTTGATTTTTTTTCGAACCGAAAATAAAATAGATTGATAGTGTAGCACTCGAACGAAAAATCCTCCTCTCGAAACTTGTTTTCAAACGAAATATTTAGTCGACTAAAATACTCCTAAGAAAGTTTTCCAAAATCACAAAGGTTATAAATATCCTAAGAAAGAGATTTTTAATAATTCCATTTTAGTCCCATTCCAAAGTTTTAAAAAAATACAAAGAGATCCTTTTGCTTCTGCTAGATAAAACCAGTTCGATTTATAGCCCGATTAGAAGGGGGGTGCTACAGGGTGGTATCAGAGCATTGTTCATAGATACTCGTACGAACTTCACGGGTTTTAAGACTACTCGAGACGTGGAGATCAACCATTCGGTAGTTATGTGAATTAATATTTTATGTGCTTTACTTGCTTTTCCTATTAGTTGTAAATTAATATAGAAATAATGGCGAGGCGTATAACCTGAGGGAACTCGAGCACTCCTTCCAATGAACCACAACCAAACTATTACCAATCTCTCGAACCTAATCCGAGAACAAGCCCAAAACCACCAACGCCAAATCGAACAACTCCTCCAACGTAACCAAACCCCACCTCAAAACAACGCACCTCAAGCTATACACGAACGATTCCTCCAAATGAACCCATCCGAGTTTCACGGTGGCACCGATTCCGGCATAGCCGGAGAGTGGATCAAATCTCCCGCCATAGCCGGAGACTATATGCAAATGACCGACCGTGACCGCGTACACTATGCCATATTCCTACTCCGAAACAAAGCTCGTCACTGGTGGGAAGGAATCAAGGAAGGAACGAACCTCGAAACTTCGTCATGGACCGATTTCAAAGTCCAATTTTTCGAAAAATATTTCTCGAAAGACGTGCGAGCCCACAAACTCAAGGAATTCCTTGAACTCCGCCAAGGCAACTTACCAATGATCGAATACATCCGTCGTTTCTAATGTGGCTGCCTCTATGCTCCATTCATCGCTCGAGGCGCTGAGGAGAAGAAGAACTATTTCATTCGTGGCCTCCAACCCAAAATCCGCAGAGACATTCGTATGTCCGACGCTTCGACTTTCCGCCAACTTGTAGACAAAGCGCTCATGGCTGACCAGGACGAGGGAGAAATTCAAAACAAACGCCGACCGCCACCAAATTTCCAACGCCCGTGGAAAAAGAGTAACTTTGGCAACCACCCATTCCGAGGAAAAGGAGCGCAACCCATCCGCCAACCAACCGGACCACTGCCGCCACCGCAACCAAGACCAACCGGCCCAAAGTGTGGGAAGAGTCACTTCAGAGAATGCATACAAGGAACGAGAAATTGCTTCCGATGCCATCAGCCCGAACACATGGTAAAAGACTATCTGAAACCTCCACCAGACGTCCCCGGTCGACTGTTCGCCATGACTCAAGAACAAATCGAGCAAGACCCGTCTATGATAGCAGGTACATATTTATCCTCGACGAACCCATATATGCTCTAATTGATTCCGGCTCTACTCATTACTTTATATCAAAAGACATAAGTGCGCGCTTAAATCTCAAACCAAATCGACTAAAATACCGAATTCTCATTCCCTCTGGCGAAGAAATGTGCTCCAATCTAGTCATAACCGATTGCCCGATCCAAGTTCACACTCAACCCATGAATATCGATTTAATCCTCCTACCGATCCAAAACTTCAAAGTTATACTAGGCATGGATTGGTTAACCAAATTAAAAGCCCAAATCGATTGTGCCTAAAAAACGGTTATCTTTCCCCTTCCGAACGGCAAAATCCTAAAATTCCTAAGTCAACCCAAAACCTCTATTCCAATCATATCCGCGATCAAAGCAGTCAAACTTATCCACAAGGGTCATTCCGGCTACTTAGTGGATATTCTAAAATCAGAGTCTGATCCCAAAACCCAAATATCCGGCATTCGAGTTGTGCCAGAGTTCCCTATTGTATTTCCCGATGACATTCCTGGACTTCCACCCGATCGAGAAATTGAATTCGAAATCAATCTCATCCCTGGAGCTATGCCAATTTCCAAAGCCCCGTATGGTCCATTTCGAAATTCTCGACAAAGTTGGTACTCGAGCCTACCGACTAGCTTTACCACCCAATTTATCCAACTTTCACAATGTCTTTCACATTTCAATGCTTCGGAAATACATTCGCAGTCCAGACCACGTATTAAAAACCGAACCGATCGAACTAAACCCTAATCTATTCTACAAAGAGAAACCTTCCCAAATACTTGATTCCAAAACCAAAACCCTTCGAAACCAAAACCCGAAATTCGTTAAAGTCCTCTGGCAAAACCATACACCCAAAGAATCCACGTGGGAACGAGAATTAGAAATGCACGAACGTTACCCCGAGTTGTTCAGGTAACAATTTTGGGGACAAAATTTCTTTAGGGGAGAAGATTGTAACACCCCACCTTTACAAAACCCTAAAACCCGAAATTAATCTTCCTAACTCGAGAATCCCTAGGTGATATTATTACGTAAAATTAATTATATGAATTACGTGAATCTAGCTAATTATGTGGCTTATGTGAATAATTACATGTCCTATTTAATTGGTAGATTATTTTTATATGTTCGGAAATTGGTAAGTTCATTAAATTATTTACGTGAACTATAATCTAATACTTAAGTGTGATTATATATATATATATATGTGTGTGTGTGTGTGTGTGTGTGTGTGTGTGTGACCGTGTGAATTTGTGTGGTGTTTATGCAAGTGGTGTTTTCTTTTAAATAAATAAAATTAGTAGGATTTTTGCATGACTTAACACTTGTCATCTTGTGATCATTTCCTTAATCTACACTCAAAGATGAAAGTACACTCTTCTAATTTCTTCTTGTAACACATCACCCTATTACTTGTCTTCCTTTCACCCATTCCACCGAGACATCACCACCATCTTCTTCTACATCACTTCCATTTTTATAAAAAAACTCATAAATCACTTTAAAATGCCTCTATTTAACCAAGGACTTGGAGTAGCCTAAAACACCATCCACCAAAGAAAATATACATCTCAC